CTGCCCAGCTGCTGCCCAGCTGCTGCCCAGCTGCTGCCCAGGTGCAGAGGCAGTGCGCATGCCTGACTTGGCCCGCGCCTTGCAGAGCGCCTCGCTGCAGCTGCAGATATCCCAAGACGCCGGCGAGGCCACTCGGGCCAGGACGGAGCTGACGGAGCTGAAGCGCACGCTGCAGACGCAGGAGATCGAGCTGAGGTCCCTCCTGGCCACGGTAGGGCGGCAGCGGCCCACGTCCTGATTCCAAAAGACTCAGGAGATGCCTTCCCATCTGCCCCGTGATACAGCTTTGCTGCACAGCTTAGCAGCAAGGCAGGCTTTGTGGAGGCGGGAGCGGGGCTCTGAGAACAGAGCGGGAAGGGAAGTAAAACTGATCCGGATGCCGTGCGCAGGGCGCAGAGAGCAAAGCTGTGCCCAGCACACCCCACCCTGGCACCGGGGAGCTCCTGGTCCCCTCCTCGCCCCATTACCTCCTGGCCAGCTTCCCCTTAAACATTCCTGGAGCACCCAGCACCCTCACCGGGTGCAAGGGTCAGCCAAAGCCAAGGTCCTACCATGGTCTTGGTCAGGCACTCTGGCCCCAGCGTCTGCGGAGGATGCTGGATATCTTGTAACTGCCTCTTTGCAATCCTAGAATGAAATCAATACAGAAAGTATTTAGCAACACACAAAATTACTTTTAAAAAGTGAATGTTACCACTGCCATTTTTTTAAAAAGGGGACAGTGTTTTAAAATAAGATGTTTTTATTGTGTAAATGCCTAGCCCCAACCACCCTGGAAATGTCCCACAGTCTCGGGTCTTCTTTTAATAAATGTTTCCTTTTCACTGAGGTAAGTTCAGAAGTTGCTCCAGCAAAAAGAAAAGAGAAACGAAAGAGCGGAGGGAGGGGCTGGCCATGCTGATAATTACTAATATCGGGGGAAGTAATGACGGTTCAGATATAGTCATGTACAATAAGGGAAAAGGGAATTGCTCCCACTGAAGCCGGGACCATGGGCCAAGGCAGATTACAGCTGATGGGAGTAGAGCTATTCACGGGCATAGTGTGAAATGCAGACCTGTACTGTTACAAGACTATCTCTGGCTGTGAAAACCCAGCCCTTGTCAAATGTGCGTCCAATTTCAAGTGCATTAATCAGAGGCCTCTGATGGGTGACAGAAAACCAAAGATGGATTAGAAAAGTAAAGGCTAGCACAAGAGGGCTTTTAATAGGGTGAGGGCCTAGCAGAGGGAGACTGAAATGCAACAGCCAACCCAGAAATAAACAGGCAATTTTAAAATATGTTTTCTCATATTGATTCCTTACTGTGTCTCCCCTGCAAAAAAAAATGCTTTCATTTCTAGGTAGGTCCCTATTGGAACTGCTACCTAAATATGATGACTATCGTTGGGAGCATGAAAAGTCTTGTAGGAAAGGGATCATCTGTCCCTCGGCAGATCACCCAGCATCCTGGTTGCCACCTAAGTAACGTTAGCCTCCGCCGCCGCCCCTTTTACTGTAACAAACCCCACACGTTTCCAAATCTTGCCCAGGGAGCAGCGCTGCCGTTTGCTGAGAAGCCCTGAACCACGAAGTCCTCGGGTGGTCCGGTCCCTTACGATGCATCTTTGCTGTCCTCAGAAACACTCGCTGGAGTGCTCCCTCAGCGAGACCGAGAGCAACTACTGCTCACAGCTGGCCCAGATCCAGGCGCAGATCGGGGCCCTGGAGGAGCAGCTGCACCAGGTCAGGACCGAGACCGAGGGCCAGAAGCTGGAGTACGAGCAGCTGCTGGACATCAAGGTGCACCTGGAGAAGGAGATCGAGACCTACTGCCGCCTCATAGACGGAGACGAGGCGTGAGTGAAACCCCCGGAAGGTCCACGCGGTCACCATCCCCTCCCCAGCGCCTTCCACACCACCAGGACTTCCTCTTTTATTCCCACTCCCACCTCTGGGGTCACCTCTTCGTACATCACAGAATGCTCCAGTGACCCGCCCCAGTTCCCACGCGCTGTCCCTGTGAGTCACTGCAGCTTCAAGAGTCTCTCGGTCCCATCCCCAGGCTTTGCCCGTTCAGTTGATTCTGAATATCACTGCCGCCCTGAAATACCCTCTGTACAAACCCCCAGCGTCTGTCATCTTAAATTGCATATATAGCTTAAGTTTTAAATACATGTTTCTTAAGTTTTAAGTTCTTGGGTTTAAGACGATTAAATAGGAATGATTTTTTTATGTCTTCTCTTTAGGTAACATTTAGTCATTCCCAGCTCCTGCACACAAAAATCCTAGTACTTTTCCCCATAGCCAAGTAAGACCTGTTCTGGGCATACAAATTTCATGGAGCTCATCAACTCAATGGCTATTTCTTCAGTGATGGAAAACAGAGATGTAAAAGATAAACTTTTTTCCTTACAGGTCATGTTCCAGATCAAAAGGCTTTGAATCAGGAAGCTTAGGGAATTCATCTAAAGGTAATAAAATCTAATTCTGTTTCCATCACAGAAAAAACTTTTATAGTGATGGCAGACATATATGGCGATGGTCTGTCGTTCACTGATTTTAACTAAAATGCTCTGACCTGAAAGTGTTATTTTCAGTTTTATACAACTATTCCAAATTGTTATTATAAATCTATACTTACTCCTTCCCCCCAAAATCATGCCTAATATATTACAACCAGCCGTGGAATTCTTTATCACTTCAGCTCTTTGGCCGAATAGAAGTATTCACATGTGTGTTACTTCCAGATTTATCCAAAACCACGCTGGTAAAGACGGTGATCGAGGAGCTAGATCAACGTGGCAAAGTCCTTTCATCCAGAATTCACTCCATTGAGGAAAAGACGTTGAAACCGACCACCAGCAAGACAGACCCGAGGGCCTCCTTCTAGCTGCCATTCAGGGAGGAGTTTGGGGAGGACCCAGCAACCTGCATCGTCCTAGATATCAAAATGAAAACACTGCCTAAGTTTAAAGATAAGTTTCTTAGCCAAAATAGCTTCTCTGGAATGCTGGGTGTTTGCTTCCAAATAAATACAAAAGTTGAAAAAGACACACTTCCAATCGCTGATGTCTAATAAACAGTCCGTTGTGATGGATCTTTTCCTTAGGGAGACACTTTCATTCTAGTTTTACATAACAGGCAATACCAGCACATAACAGTGGAATATGAAACAGTCACTGGGCATCACCTTTAAATCCCACGTGTCTGCACAGGCGAACATGGGAATGCGCTATGATCTGCAGGGCGGGCAGGAGAAGGGGAAGTGAAGATAGTTAAGATGTCATAGGTGTGTTAGCAGTTCCCCAAGAGGAATGTAATTACTATGTATCACACACATGTCCTGATAAGGAAAGAAACTGAAAATAATTTTGGCACCAGCACAATGGAAAGTTTCTGTTACTGATTTCAAACGAGAATTATTGTGGGTGTGAAAAAAAGTTCCACCGCAAGGCGGCGCATGCCTAGCATTTTACCCAGAGCCTGTTAAACGCTTCCAGGTGTCTGAGTATGTCTTAGGATACTATTCCTCGTCTAAATAGGAAAATCCCTGAACAGAGCGTCAGCCAATGCCATGTGCCTCATGTTAGCCTTTTTTCCACGGTGGAGTTTGGAAGCTTTTTCTGTTAAAGTCCAGAGTAAATGTGTAGGCTATGTGTGTATATACCAGAAGTCTCTCTATTTCAAATAATCACTTTAAAAAAAAAGAAGCAGCCACAGGCAACAGAGAGACCAGCAACCAAAACAGTAAAACTTTATTGAAGGACTCTGAAATTTGAGTTGCAATCTTTACTTGCTATGAATTATTCTTTTGATTTTCTTTTTTTTTCTGACCGTCTGAAAAATATACAAACATTCTTGGCTCAGGGCTGTACAAAAACACACCAGAGATGAGATTTAATCCAGCGACGCCTGCACTACAGCTCACAGTCTCAGGCAGCTGATGAACATTTTAGCTGTTGGATGTTTCCACCCTAGGAAAACAGCTCTCTTATTTCACTAGCGTGTGACCTCATTTCCGTGAAAATCTCCTTGGAGAGCAGAATCGTACACAACAACCAAGCAGTCACACCTGGGTGCGAAGTACGGGTGAAGCGAATGGGATATTTACCAAATCTTCCTCCAAAAGTCACTAAATGAAGCAAATGATAGAAATGCATCAGGAAATAACTCCCCAACTTTACGATGCACAGGACCAGCTACTTAGTTTGCAGGACTCAGGGCAAAATGAAAATGGGGCTCTTGTTCAGAGACCCAGGAGATGGGGGGAATGTCATTTCAAGTACCACAGTATCATGTTTCTTCCTCTCATGCAGTTGCACTCTCCATTTGTCCTTGGTTTTTCTTATTTTCTTTTTTGGGGGTGGTTTGTTTTGTTTTGTGGGGCTTTTTTGCTGTTTAATATCATGCTAAGGAAAGAAAAAAATAAAATTTTAAGTTGTCGCCTACATTTTACCACTCACTTTATATTGTGCATTGTCTGCTTTGAATCCAGATTCAAGACCCCTGAACTTGTACACATGGCACTGAAGTTTACGATTCATATTTTGTAGTTCCCACATGCATATGTATCTCGTTCTTACCAAAATTGCAACTGCTGCATGAGACAAGCTGAGCTGTCTGTATTTGACTCCTTTATTTGTGCGTTATGTACCAGTGTGCTCCTCCTTGGGTTTCCTAGAAAGAGAAGACTGAAAAGAGAAGGAACGTGGATTGCCCTGGGCTTCTATGGCATTACTTTCAGCCTAAGCCTCCGGCTAACACTGGCAAGTGGCCGCGTGCACACAGGAGGCGGCTCCTTGGTCGTGCTTGTTTCTTGGAACACTGATATTTCTGAATCTGAAGCAAGTTTGTACGGAAAGCCTGGCTTCCTGGGCTCGACACAGCTGAGACACGGCTGACTGGGAGACATGCTTGCACCCCCCATCAGTACTGCGGGAGCCCCGTGCACTGTGGCTGTATGACATGGTTGCCACGGGCACCGCACATGCCCCAAGCCACAAGACAGCGAGCGCCAGCGCGAGCGAATGCACGTCACACGCTCCGGTGCTCGGGCCCGCAGGCCATCGTCCTATCAGAATTCGTTTCTGAGACACAAGTCCAAAGACACACTACCAAGCCTTTCCAGATGGCAGCAGAACATTAAACCAAGCGTGTGGCTCTTCTGAACAGGAGACCTGTGCCAGTGGCCAACCAGCATGCCCACAAAGCAGCCCTGTCCATCACACTTTTTTTAAAATCTATTTTATGAACACATACTAATTGCACAGAGGAATGGGTTTCATGGTAACATTTCCGTACAGGCATATATGGTGCACGGACCATGTCCAGCCTCCCTTCTGCCTCTCTGGCCTTCCTCTCCTCCTCTCACTGGTCCCCTCCCTGGTCCCTAACAGTCCTACTTTCAAAAACAGTCCTACTTACGCTGTCTTTGTGGTCATCAGCTCTCCCCAGCAAGGCCCCTTTCAGCCGGAAGTACTCACTGCCCTTTGTCCCAAGGGAGCCATGGATAAGGACAGATTTTATAGAAAAACAGCCCTAATGCAACACTTCACATCAAAGAAACAACGCAGAGTCCCTGTGTGTGTGTTCAGCAAAGGGATGGGTGAATTGGCTTTAATTTCTGTTAAGTTCAAGGAGTGGAAAAACATCCCATGCCCTCTGGCTTCAGAGTTGAATCTGTCCATCCTTCCTGGGTGTGTGAGGACTGCTGGTGGCCTTCCGGTCTGGGATTTTCCTTTGCTAGACAGAACTGTAGAGCTCCTGGGCATGTTCTTCCTCGTACCCTGAAGATTCACCCTGATCTTTCCAGGGGTGAAGTACTGGGAGTTGGGCCCAGGGCCTTTGCACGGAGCTACATCCCCAGCTCTCTTTGTTATCTTTTATTTTGAGACAGGGTCTCACTGAGTCACTAAAATTGCTCAAGCTGGGCTCAAAGTTGCAATCCTCCTGCCTCGGCCTCCCAGAGTGGCGGGATTGTAGGCATGCACTGCCATGCCCAGCATCACTCCGCTTTTTGCTGTGGTTTCCACACTGACAAAGGAATCAGCATCCCTGTAAAAGAGAAGGAATCCAAGGCCCTGTGCTTGGGCAGTTCACTGTTAAAGCAGAAATCACACATGGATATGACGAGCTGTGATGACTGTATTGCTGTTGTCTGATGGTATATTGAAATGAACAGTTAATGCTCACAATTTTTTATGTTCTGATC